CTAGAGCAGGAGCTCCAGCCCCTCTCCCTCAGGCAGGTCCTAAGACACTTTGGGCCCTGATTGGATGCGAAACACCCACTCCTGTGAGGGTGTGGGAGGAGCTGCCTCCCAGAGCTGACCTGCCCACCCCAGGACAGGCAGCAACACCCCCAATTCCAGATAGGACTCCAGTGTGGGGACACTACTGATGGAGGGGAGGCCCTGCCTCCTAGGCACGGGGTTCCCCAGAATTTGGGGTTCTCAGCTGGTACCTCTTTGGAAAGATAATTCTGTGCTCTCCTGGGCATGGAGAGGACTGAGAAAAAGGGAAACCCGATGGGAGTGATTTTTGAAGCTGCCTCTTTCTTACCCCTTCAGTCAAGAAAGAGGCAGGAATCTCCCACTTTTCCCTTTGGGAACTCCCTGGCCCACCTCTCAGCCCCTGGCCCTCACTTCTCACTGAGGCTGGCCCCTGCTATTGGCTGGGGTCTGCTCTGTGCCCAGGCAGCCGAAGCCCCCGCCTCAGGCCGGAGAATGTGCCCAAGGTGGGGAGGATGTGCCTCCAAGCAGCCTTCATTTACTCTGTTGATGTTTATCTGGCACGGGGCTGCAGTTCTGTCTCCAGGTTTTGGGTTTGGGGAGCTCCAAATCTCCCTGTGGAGAGACATAGGGACTGTCTACACCTGGGAGTGCTTGGCTGTCTCCATTTTGCTCCTCATCTCTTTCAGGGGGAAAACATTTTCAAATTCAACCAATCGGTGGGCGGATTCCCTCTGCAGAGGCGTGTCCCAAAGGGTTAACGCAGCCACCCAGAAGTGGGTATGGGAGAGAAGAGCCAATCAGGAGGGCGTGGGGGTGTGCCCTGGGGACTCATGAGGACGGCCCGGGGCACTCAGGGCAGCAGCTCTATTCTGCCGGTGGGCTGTCCCGGGGCCCTGGGAGGCCTTCTCCTCATAGCTCCTCTCCCGCATAGCATGATGGGCTCTGGCAAGACGGGGCACAAGGTCCGCAATAAGACTAGCCACAAGGCCACACACAACACCTCCGCCACGACCAGCGACCAGATCAGCACCAAGCCCAAGTCACTCCCTGGGCGCCGGCCTGCAGTTCCCGGTGGGCCGCGTGCACCGAGCACGTGGGCACAGATGCTCCCATCTACATGGCTGCGGTGCTCGAGTACCTCACTGCTGAGATGTTGGAGCTGGCGGGGAACACGGCCTGGGACAAGAAGAAGACGTGGATAAACCCCCGGCACCTGCAGCTAGACATCCGCAGCGATGAAGAGCTCAGCAAACTGCTGGGAGACGTGGCCATCCCCCAGGGAGGCGTCCTGCCCAACATCCAGCCCGAACTGCTGCCCAAGAAGACCAGCATGCCCAGGTGGCAGAAGGCACCACCGGCGGCAAGACGTCCACCCAGATCCCAGAGGAGCAATGAGGGTACCCCCTTCCTCACAACCTCCGTCCAACCGTCCTCTCCTCAGCCCCTCACAAAGGTCCTTTAAACCTCACTAAAAGACCTTTCAGAATAAATGTATTTTTTCACAGCAACTCATCTCTCGATTTACTGGCGAGCAGTACAAGCTTGGAGCTTGGATTCGGTAACAATTTAAAAAACTGGAGACAGATGCACACAAAGAGGACACCATGTGAAGGTAAAGGCAGAGATTAGGGCGATGCTTCTTCAACTAATGAGCACCACCGACTGCCTGCAAATCACTAGGCAATGGTGCTCGTTGGTTGTAGAGTTTCAGGTTCTTGCTATTAGCCAGACCTCAGCAGGCATCTGCAGGTGCAATCCAAGGCTCAGTCTTCCTCCCTGGATGGGGACCTGCAGAGCCAAGATTTTAAACATCCCTCCTTCCTCCAGCCAGGGTTCCTTCTCCTGCAGTGTCCTAGTGTTAGGGCAGGCAGATAGCTAGATACGAGCAGAGAAAGGGGGACGCAGGCCAAATAGCAGGAATTGGGCAAATGGCAGGAGAGGGGCAAGGGGCCAAATGCAGGAACCCACACAACATGAAAAGAACAGGGATCCCTAGGCAGACAGAAAAAGCAGGTACCTTGGCACTGATAAGAAATCACACAATTAGGGGTGACAAGTGCCCTGGAGGCCAACAAAGAAAGGTGGGGAAAGGAATCTCTAGTGTCTGAATGTAGGCTTTTGCTCATTATGCCCTCATTTCAATAAAATTAGCCTTGCAGATTAGAAGTACCCGTCATGCACCGAGGCGACGACACTTCCGATTGAGACTAAATATGGACAAAAATCCCTCCTCCCCTCAGGAAGGTGGAGCTGGGATGAAAATCAGGGACAAAGACCCCAAACGTTTCCCTCCCCAGTGAATATTCCGCCCATTCATTTTTACACCCCATGTAACCAGCCTGCAAAAGAAACTCAGCGCAGCTGCTCACCTGGGCCTGCCCGCTCTCCCCTTAGAGTGTCCTATCCATCCCTGAATAAACCCTCACTTTACTTAAGCTCCGTTCTTGCTAGTAGCTGGACCTCAGCAGGCGTCCGCAAATGCAACCCAGCTGAAACAGGCTTAGACACCTTCCAAGGCTCAACTAGTTCATATTCCTCCCTTGATGGGGACCTGCAGAGTCAAGAGTTTAAACATCCCCCCTTCCTCCAGCCAGGGTCCCTCCTTGTCTCTGCATTCTTTCTACAGTGGGACAAGAACTTAATCAATGGCAACAAAAACATACACAACCTAAAGGTCGGGAGTTATGTTTTATTCAGTGGACGTTTCTGAGGACCTAGCCCAGGATGTGGCCTCTAAGCTTGCTCTGCGGGACTGCCCTGAAGAAGAGGGAAGGAGCCAGGGTGTACAGGAGTTTTTGCAATAAATATCAGGTAGTTGGAACATCAAAAGATTGTTGTTAATAAAGAAAACTAGATACCAAGGAATTGAGTGTTTTTCTATGTATGGGAAGGTGCTAAGATCTAGGTTTATTGAAATCATTTCTTTGACATGCACCCAGCTATCTAGGGCCAGTATCCTGTGTAACCCTGAGAGAGCTCAGGGGGCACCGTTGTGGGGATGACAGCAGGCTACTTCTCTACACAGGTTTCCATGTCCCACCTGAAGTTCTCAGGACAGATGCCAGGCCTCTACCCCGGAGCCCACACCCGCACTAAAGCTCCCAGGACTGAGGTCAGGCTGGGTGTCTAACCAGGTCCCCACGTCCCCTCTGAAGCTCCCAGTACTGAGGCCGGTTATGTAGCCAGGTCTCCATGGCCTCCCTGAAGATCCCATTAGTGAGACCAGGTCTTTATCCAGGTCTCCATGTGCCTCCTAAAGTTCCCAGGACTGGCTTGAGTCTTAGTCAGGTCTACATGTCCTAGTGTTTGCAGAACATGGTCAGGTCTAAATGTACTCAGTGTAGACAGAATACGGAGGAACCTAAATCTACCATGGAGACAGAACTTGGTCAGTTTAAACTAGCTTAGGGCTGCTCTCCTAAGAGGCACAGGTCACATGCATGGGTCCCTCATCTTAGGGCAGGAGACTCACCCCCGTGCAGGGACTAAGGCTTACACTGCTTGGAGAATCAATCAACATCGGATTCTGCACTTCACCCACATCAGGAAACTGAATGAAATCTTTCTGTCATGAAACATTTCAACATGCAAGACAAAAATGTTACCAATTTCTCTGGTCACGTGATGGTCAGGATCCAAGGGTAAGCCAGGAGCCTCTTGTAGTGCAGCCCAGTCTCCTGCAAGGACAGACAAGAAGTAGCGTGATTCCAGCATCCTGGGCTCCCAGCAGGAGGTGAACCCACTGGAAGCCCAGGACAGGACAGGACAGTCCTGCACAGTAGAGGCAGTGAGAATCTGTCAGTCCATTCCGACAGCAGATTCTGGGTGGAGCACGCTCTGGCAGCCAAGCACACCACAGGCAGGTCCTGCTTCACAGCAGCATGTGCAGTGGGGAAGTGGGGGCTGATGGTCACTACAGCACCCAGTCAGGTGACTTTGTGCACCAGGGCTGACGCCTAGAACCCGCACTTCACTGTCTTTGAGGGGAGAACACAGGGGAGAGGTTGGGGCACCTGATCCACCTTTACCTCAGAATGCTGCAGCATCCTTGTCAGCTCCCTGCATCCCTTGTCCTACAGATGAGACTAAACCAAAGGGGCTACGTGTCAGGCAGAGTGAGTGGTGGGAACCCTGTTGCTGATCCCAGAACTGAAACAGTTCCTAGCCTGCAGATGGTCTCTGGGAGGGTTTCTAGCCCTCCAGTGACAGCTTAGACCCATGGAGACAGGAGGTGGGGTGAGCGCAGGATCTCACAGGTGCAGGTAAGCAGAGCCTCCACAAACCTGAAGCCTCCTATGGCCCCAGGACAGCCCAGTGGGCTTCTTTCCTGGGCCTTAGGTCCTCCTCACGGCCTGTACAGAACGACTCAACAAATGAGCCAGGAGGGTGTCTGTGTGCTGGATGGGAGTCTAAACGGGTGCAGGGAGTCGGGAGTCCCTGGGGTGACCTGAGATCAAAAGGACAGAGGCTCAGTGGGTAGATATTTGAACCTGGATGCCTTGATCTGCATCTAGATTTTGCCACAGGTTGGTGTGACTTCTTGGGTAACTTAGTAGGGGATAGAGACTTAACATATATGTGTGTGTACATAAACCTATCTACTGTCCACTCTGAACCTCAGAACAGTACTGTGCAGGGGGCAGGAATCACCCCCACACAGAGACAGAGACACACACACACATATGTATCAACCCACTGCCCCCACTTTCTACCTGCCCTAACAGGACCCCTCTTACTGGTTCATTCTGAGTTTTAAAAACGAGTCAACATGTGACCTACTGAGAACAGGAACAGGCCTTTTTGAAAGCTCAGTGTCGGCTCTCCGTAAGTTACCAGCTTCTAAGATACTGATTGCAATGACTTCTCAGAAGCGGAGTGGCTTCTGCCCACCTGACAACACTGAGGGTCAAGGTGGTCCATGGGTACACTGCTGCGACCAGACCCACCCGGGGAGAGAATGCAGCACTCAGAGCCTTCAGGCCCAGGCAGGTTGAAGGGGCCGCTATCGTGGCTGAACCTCAGACTCACCCAGGGGTGCCTCATGTTCATTCCAACAGAAGTGTGTATCTACATGCTCAGACCACAGATAATCCTGTGTGTAAACTCTCACACAGATCACAGGTCACTCATACATGTAAAACTCACATATAGTTCAGAACCGCCTAAGAACCAGGCAGAGGCCCATCCTTAGCCTCAATTTGACTGCAGCGCACCAACCAGAAACAGATAATGGAGATGGAAAAGCATCCTGGGGAGGCGACAGGAGAGGATTCTACATTTCACATTAGAGAGCGAGATGTTGACAGGAGTCCAGAACTTCCAGATCCTCCTGAATTTTGAAAAATGGTTCAAGTTCAAAAAGTTGTGTGGCCCCAGCTCCCACCCCAAGAAGGGTGTTTCCAGGAGACCTGAGTCCTGGTGGTGTCAGCGATGGGGCCTTCCACCTCTCCTTCCTCTTTGGACACAGCTCCTGTATCCTTCCCAACCGATTCTCTGGGGCACTAGGCTGCCGTCTGGAGTGTAGACAACACTCCGGGAAAGAAATTCTGTATTCTGAGACAGGCAGGCTGACAGGGCTGTTCTCAATATGGTACAGATCAGAGAAGGGGACATACACCACCTTGAATGGCATGAAAGTTACTGAGGGAAACCTCATCTAAGGTACAGCGGGGAGGCCGGAAGGAGGGAGTGGCAGTGCCACTCAAAGTCAGTAACAGGAAGGACTGTCCATTACAAACCCCAGCAACAATCATCAACGGGAGAGAATCCTCAATCCCAGGCCTCACCAGGAAATATGTTCCCTGCGCCTCCCGCAGGCCACTGACCACCCTGGCTGCTGAGCTGATGGGAAGCCATCCCCACCCTTTACTCAGGGCTCCCCTCCATCAGACCCCAAAACAGCACCCCTCACTCTCTTTCTCTATGAAATAACGTTCCTCTCCTTTGTTCATGGGATTTGCTTGGAGCTTCTGCTGTAGCCTGATTGTCCCAAACTGCAATTCTTTGTTGCTCCTGAATGAACCCACTTTGTGGTAAAATAACAGGCTGTTTTATTTTTTTAGGTCAAAAATGGGAAGAAGAGCCCCAAGTGAACAGACTGAATCATCGAGTGTTTGGAAGGGGTGTATGTGTGAGGGCAGGAAGAGGGTTGGTCTGTGGCAGAGGCAGGAAAGACCTGTGAGTAAAGCATCATAGAATGTTTTCAGTCTGGAACTTTAGTTTTCAGCTCTCCTGAGTTACTTCTGCGAAAAGAGCCAGCCTTTTTCTCCTCCTATTCCGTGTATTCCATTACTCTCAGAGCTTTAGCCCAGGGAATCCACAGGGAGGTCTGCGTGGTGGGCTACGCTTCCAGGGCCTGGGGACCCAGCGTGGGGCTGTGTTGTTGTGCTTTGCGCTCTGAGCTCCTGAGACATCCCAGGGAGAGTGGTGGGCTGAGGCAGTTTAAACAGAAGCATTTGATGGGACAAAATAAGCTGGTGGATACTTCTCCTCTCCCTGCGCTAGATAATTACCCACAAGAGGTGAAAACAACACCGTTGACCCTTGAACAACATGGGGGTTCGTGGCATTGACCCCACCAATCACACACACCACGCAGGTGAAAATCACACATAACTTTGGTCTCCACAAAAAACTCAACTCCTAATAGCCTACTGTGGCCTGGAAGCCTTACTGATAATATAAGCAGTCAATTAACAAATATTTTGTATGTTATATGTATTATATACTCTATTTTTATCAAAAGTGAGCGAGAGAAGAAAATAAGATCATAAGGAAAAGAACATTTACAGTACTGTAGTGCATTTATTGATAGTGTAAGTTTACATTTATCTGTTTACAGGATGAATTGTCTGTCAGTACGTCAATATTGTCTCTTGTGATACAAACACTGTAGATGTTACATGTATTACTAACATTAGACATCAAAAATGAAAAGATGATGTGAAAGAATGCATATGTGTCTACAGGTATCAGAATTCATGCATTATATATAAAATAGATAAACAAGTTTATGCTGTATAGCACAGGAAAATATATTCAATATCTTGTAGTAGCTCACGGTGATAAATACGAAAATGAATATATGTATATTCATGTATGACTGAAGCAATGTGCTGTACACCAGAAATTGACACAGCATTGTAAACTGACTATATCTCAATAAAATTTAAATAAATAAATAAAATTTTTTTAAAAAGCAAGAAAAAAGAATTCACACATTCATAACAAAGCAGCAGCAATATGATTCTTTATGGTGGCCTAGCGTCATTGATATGACTGCTTCATGGTACACTAATAAATGCATCATTATAAAATGTTATGGCATGTCATATTACAGTCATATTCATCATACACTATTGGAAACATTGTTACATTAAAAAAAATCACTTCTCTGTGATGATAGGCTGATAAGCAGTTTCTCCAATTACGAGACTTAAAGACTGTATGGTAATGTAATTCTTTGAAAGCAAAGTTATAAAACCGGATGGAAATCAACACATTACTTTTATATTAAGCATCACTCACCTTGCTCCTATGGACAGGCTCTATCCACTTCAAGTCCTGCACATGTTCCACATGATGAACACCTAAGGATGATGATGATAACTAAAATGTCTACCCAGTTATTGCCACAAAATTGATAGATTTTCACACGAGCACACACACACACACACACACACACATTCACAACAGGTAAGTTTACTAACTGTACGGCATGATGATTACTTACTACTTACTAAGTGGAGATGGATCATCATAAAGGTCTTCATCCTCAGGTTTTCACACTGAGTCAGCTGAGGAGGCGTGGGTCTTGCTGTCTTGGGGGGCGGAGGTGGAGGATGTGGGGGTGGGGGCAAGAGAGGCCGGCACACCTGGTGTAACTTAATGAAAAACACATCGTCGTTTCTGTATGAGTTTTCTGCTTTTTTCATTTCTCTAAAAATGTTTGTATACCATAATCCTTCCACCGTTCATTTTAGTTTCAGTGCCCGTATCATTGAAGGAGCCATGTTGCAAAAGCCGTCAAAAGCAATCTTTGAAAACTCAGAATGCTTCTGTAGGATGGTCTGATGTCAATCTGTTTCCTGGCGCTGTTTCTTCTGCGATTTCCTCATCATCTGGCACTTGTCTCCATCAAGTCATCCTCTGTTAATCTGTCTGTTAGCCCTTGAATTGATGGTAGTAAATGACAAAATAAACTCACATCCACATATATTTTATGCCTTCATGGCGTATCTAGTTTTTTCCCGAACTTTCTGGGACATTTTTAGGCTACTGCGTTTGTCTGTGCAGTTTCTCAAATTGTCAGAAATATTCAAAATATTTCCAATATATGTATTGACAAAAGTCCACGTATAAGTGGACCCATGCAGTTCAAACCCTGCTGTTCAAGGGTCACTTATACTCCCTTTTGATTGTCGTGAGGCCCGTCAAACAGCTAAGAAGTGCACAGATATCACCCAGAGTGGAACCCCAGTCGTCTGGCCCCACAGAGGAAAGGCGCACACCCCCTTTCTCCAAGGCCCATTCAGAATCACCTTGTGGAGAAGCACTCTGCAGAAGCAAAGGACGGCAGGAAACTGAGGAACAGAATCCAAGAGTCTCCAAACAAATGCATTCTGGAAGATTCCTGCATCCCCGCAAGGAAAGCAAAGAAAACGTTTAAGTCACTTCTCTGCACTGGGCTCGGGCAGCTGGCGCTGTGGTCCCGAGGCCGGGGAGCCTGGACGTGAGCTCGGCTCGGCTCGGGTCCCGACGGGTCTCCACACCTCCCCAGGCCGGGCCTGTGAGCTCGCCCGCACCACGCGGGGTCTCGAGCCTCTGAGGGCCC